ATAGCTGCAGGTACCCAAGTGAACTGAGAGAATTTCAAGCAGTTATTCTTGGAGAAATACTTTCCCCAAGATATGAGACATAAGAAACAGGTGGAATTCCTTGAGTTGAAGCAAGGAGAAAATTTTGTGGCTGAGTATATTACTATGTTTGAAGACCTGGTTAGATTTTGTCCCATGTATGATGGTGTGGGCAATGAGGAGGACAAATGTGTGAAGTTTGTGAGTGGTCTTCGCCCTGAGATTAAACAAGTTTTCAATTATCAAGGGATCACTCACTATCATGAATTGGTAAACAAGTGTCGAGTATATGATGAGGACAACCGTGCTAGGGTAACTCATTATAAGAGTGGAGGACCCATGAGGAATAATAAGTTTGGTTCATCTAGTAAGAGTAAACCTTACACCAAGTCTACTGGGGACTCAAGTTCTAAGGTGAATAATCAAGGTTTTGTGCAACAAAGGAGCCACGTTCCAACGACTAGCCAAACTACTAGATGGGAAAGTGTGGGTTCTGTTCCACACAACAACTGCTACAACTGTGGGAAGCCAGGTCATAGGGCATATGAGTGTCCGTTGCCCAGAGTAATAACATGCTTCAATTATCAAGAGAAGGGACATAGAGCTCGTGATTGCCCCAAGAACAAGACAACAGAGGTTGGAGGGAGTGCTAGCAAAACTAGAGCGACAGGAAGGGTGTTTGCCTTGAGTGGTGCTGAAGCTACGCAATCCAAAGACTTAATCCAGGGTATGTGTTTCATCAATGGAACTCCTCTAATTGTTTTGTATGACTCTGGTGCGACTCACTCTTTTATATCACATGCGTGTGTGTCCAAATTAAAATTACATGTTTCTTCCTTGTCTTTTGAATTAATAGTAGAGACACCAACTAGTGGTTCAGTGTCTACTTCTGATGTCTGTTTAAAGTGTCCTTTGATTATTGATGGTAGAGATTTCATGGTTGACTTAATTTGTTTGCCTCTAAGTCAGCTAGATGTTATTCTGGGTATGGACTGGTTATCTTCCAATCATGTCCTTTTGAATTGTGCTGATAAATCTATTGTTTTTGGTGAGCCTGTTGAAAAAGTGAGTAAGGATTATTTGACTGCCAACCAAGTTAAGGTATCTTTACAAGAGGATGCCCAAGTGTACATGTTGTTAGCTTCTTTGAATTCTGAGAGTAATGTTTTGGTGAATGAACTGCCTGTTGTGTGTGACTTTTCGGATGTCTTCTCTGATGATATGTCTAGCTTACCACCTAGAAGAGAAGTAGAATTTTCCATAGACTTAGTACCAGGAACAGGACCTATTTCTATTGCACCTTATAGGATGTCACCCGTAGAGTTAGTGGAGCTTAAGAAACAAATAGAAGACTTGTTGGAGAAGGGGTTTGTGAGGCCTAGTGTATCACCTTGGGGAGCACCCGTACTCTTAGTCAAGAAGAAGGATGGTAGCATGAGATTGTGTGTAGATTATCGCCAATTGAACAAGGTGACCATTAAGAATAAATATCCATTGCCTAGGATAGATGATCTTATGGACCAGTTGGTGGGTGCTTGTGTATTTAGTAAAATTGATCTTAGATCAGGGTACCATCAGATTAGAGTTAAGGGTGAGGATGTACCTAAGACAACATTTAGGACTCATTATGGACACTATGAGTATCTAGTAATACCTTTTGGTGTGACAAATGCTCCTACAATTTTTATGGATTACATGAACCGAATTTTTCATCCGTATTTGGATAAATTTGTAGTTGTCTTCATAGATGACATACTAGTTTATTCCAAGACTAAATAGGAGCATAAGGAACACTTAAAGGTAGTACTTCAAACCCTCAGGGAGAGACAAATTTATGCCAAGTTTTCTAAATGTGACTTTTGGCTAGAGGAGGTGAGTTTCTTAGGACATGTGATTTCAAGTGGGGGTATAGCAGTAGATCCATCTAAAGTTGAGGCAATGCTTAAGTGGGAAACACCCACTACTACAAGATGCATATTCTACATCGGTTCTCTAACATCATCTATATCGGTTCTAAAACCGATGTAGAAGAGAGCAACGTAAAAAATGTATATATTTTTACATCGGTTTTGAAAAACCAATGTAGATTACATTTTAAAAAAAAATTAATTAATTTATAACCCAAAAAAAGGGGGGAAATGTGGACAAGGTCAACCTGCAATATAAACAATTTATAAGGTAAACCTGCAATATAAACAATTTATAAGGTAAACCTGCAATATAAACAATTTATAACCCAAAAAAAGGGGGAAATGTGGACGAAGCAACTAATGTTTTCTGACACCAATATCAAACCTTGTTTGGCTAAACTGCTCTATAATTAATTATGTAAATGTTATTGGTTTACAATTCAAATATAGCACGTAAGTAATTTAGCCAAAAAAAGGCATGACTCGTGATCCCAAGTCAATAAATTAATTAGGTTCACTTTTTTATCAATCAATCCTGACATGACATAATCTAATATTTCAACTACATTCTCAAAAATATTGACATGAAATCAGGTTCAAAATTAATTGAATCAAACAAACGAAACAACATTAACTACATCCCTCAACTTTACATATCCTACAAATGTTAATACATAAAACAAGCAAAGTCAAAATACAGACAGATACAAATTGTTTGCAGAACAATTTATTTTCATTTTTGGGTTTGAAAATCAATCATGGATATTGTGTCACAAAGTAATTAAAAAAGAAACTAAATTACAAAGTGTTTGCCTTAGACCCTCCAGAGAACTTGATGGCTGTAGTGGTGAGTATAAAGACTTCAAAACATCAGGATGTGAGTTCAATGAATTGTACTGGTGTATGTAACCCGCTTAGCTGGTGCTCCACCAAGTGCTCTCCCGCAGCCAAGTACCGCACTAGATCACATATCTGCAACCCAGAATACACAAACCCAATCACATTCACTGACAAACTATACCTGCAAAATCACACACACCACATAATTCATACACAATTAGACATGAATGAAACAGAAATTTTATTAACTGCATCACTCAAAGTTCAACATGAATCTGGAAAACTTTGAAATTCATTAAAAGAAGTGCTCCTATGCGTAACCAGTAAAGTCTATTACTCATTCTAAACACTTAATCACCCATAACACATCCGCCAGACAACCATCCCCCAGACAACTGAAATTAAGGTCATCAAGAGGAATTTAAAATTTGACAAGTCAAAAAGAGAAAAGAACAATTTATCTAAATCGAAAGTTCCTGAATACAATAATCAGCAATATCCAGAAACGTCGAACACGACTCGCTCAGATTCGAAGTGGACTCGCTCAGATCCGAAGCGCACTCGCTCAGATTGTGCCTGTGACCGTGACCCTGCCTCTTCTCGCTGCCTCCAACGACGTCGCATGGTGAAGTTGCTAAACTGAACCAAACAAAAACAAAACAAAAACAAACAATGTGAATGAGTGAGTGAGTGAGCGAATTAAATCAGGGAAATTGGATTTAGCAGAATGCGGTTAGATAATCGGTTAATTTACTAATAGCGGAATTGAGAGCCCTAGATCTGAACCTTGAGTGTTGGAAACTACGGCAGATTCCTCTCTGGTTTTGCAGTTTCCCATTCATTCAAGTGTGGTGAAGCGGAAAATGACGTCGTGGAAGCAACTCTCGCGGCGGCGATTGCAGAGTAGCACGGAGTCAGAATGTAGCTGTTGTCGTTGGTGTCTGAGAACCAGATTTTCATTCTTCGCTTCCACCCATTCTCTCTTTTTCTCTCCTTAGGAAGGACTATCGAGCGCGGTGGAGAGCACTTGAGCATGGGACGTGGCGACGGCGAAGACGAAGGAGGAAGAGAGCGAAGAGGCCTTGGCCCCGAGTATGCTTTAACCTAGCGTGCTCGCGGGGCACATAAGAGGGGTTCACTTCTACATCGGTGTAGACACCCAATTTCGTCCGGGGCATATAAACAAGGACATGGACCTCTGTTACGAAGGGAAGGAGCTCCTGAATCATGCCAACAAGAAGACAGAGGGCACAAAATTACAAATTAAATATTTTTATGGGTCCGGAACGGGCCGTTCCAAAATCGGAACGGGCCGTT